TGGGTCCTCCTGCCCCCCCCAGTGCCATGTCCCCCATTTCCTCCTGCCCCCTGATTCCCCTTCCCCCTGATTCCCCAGCTCCCCAGGTCCTCCTGCCCCCCCAGTGCCGTGTCCCCCACTTCCCCCTGCCCCCTGATTCCCCTGCCCCCTGATTCCCCTGCCCTCCAGTGCCATATCCTGCACTTCCTCCTGCCCCCCGGTTCCTCCTGCCCCCCAGCGCCAAGCCCCCCGCTTCCCCTGCCCTCCAGTGCCATATCCCGCACTTCCTCCTGCCCCCCGATTTCTCCTGCCCCCCAGCCGTGCCCCCTACCCCCGGCTCTCCCCGCCTGGCCCCTGGGCTGTGGAGCAGTGGGGAGGTGATGGCGACGCCAGGGAGGGGCCGTGGGGCCCGGCTGACCCCCGTGTCCCGGCAGAGCCTGTTCGAGGTGCTGACGTCGGAGGCCTCGTACCAGCGCTCACTGCGCCTGCTGGCCGAGCACTTTGTGGGGTCGCGGGCGCTGGGCGAGACGCTGGTGCCCCGCGAGCGCCAGGCCCTGTTCTCCAGCATCCTGCGGATCCAGGAGATCAGCGCCAGGTCAGCACGGCCCCCGTGTGCCCCCGGTGTGTTCCTCCTGGTCCCCCTTGTCCCCCCGGCGTGACCCACGGCCTGCCGCCAGCCTGGCCTGCCCCCTATGTATCCCCGGCGTGCCCCCCTTGTACCTCTGTGTGCCCATGGCATGTTCCCCCACAGCATGTCCCCTGTGTACCCCCGTGTGCCCCCAGTGTGACCCACGGCCTGCCTCCAGCCCGGCCTGCCCCCTGTGTGCCCCCATAGCCCTAGTGTGTCCCCCCGGTCCCCCCATGTACCCTCGGCCTGCCTCACAGCCTGCCCCCTGTGTACCCCCTGCGTGCCCCACAGCATATACTCCCTGTACTCCTGTGTATCCCTGGCATGTCCCCCCTGGTCCCCCCCCTGTACTCCCAGCGTGCCCCGCTGTGTATCTCCAGCATGTCCTTCCGGCATGTACTCCCTCGTCCCCCCGTGTATCCCCAGCGTGCCCCATGGCATGTCCCCCCTGGGTCTCCCAGCATGTTCCCCCCAGACCCCCCCAGCATGTCTCCCCATATACCCCCAGCATGTCCCCCTTGGGCCCCCAGAAACCCCCCAGCATGTCCCCCAAGGCCCCCCCAGTATATCCCCTTGGCCAGCATGTCCCTCTGTGTATCCCCAACATGTTTCCCCTGGACCCCCTCATATTCCATCCACGGCCCCCCCAGATCCCTCCAGCGTACCCCCGATACCTCCTGGACCCCTGCTCCCAGCCTGCCCCCCGCCGAGACCCCCGCCGCACGGTGCCCCCCTGGCCCTGACACCCCCGTTCCCGCGGCAGGTTCCTGGCGGCGCTCGAGCGGCGCGTGGCCGAGAACCTGCAGATCCAGGACGTGAGCGACGTGGTGGCCGCCCACGCCCGGCGCGACTTCTCCGCCTACATCGACTATGTCCGCAACCAGCCCTACCAGGAGAAGGAGTACAGCGCCCTCATGTGCGCCACGGGGCGGGGCTGTGGGGCTGGGGGCGGGGCTATGGACAACAGGGGGTGGGGGTGGGGCGGGGACTGGGCTATGGGACACAGAGGCGGGGCTATGGAGATGGGGCGGGGCTGGAGGGTGGGGGTGGAGCTATGTGGGGCTGGTGGCCACAGGGGGCTATGGGGGGCCATGGGGCAGGAGTATGAGGGGCACGGGTGGGGGTACAGGAGAGGGTCCGGGTGGGATATGGGGGGAGGGTGGCGAGGGGGTGGGGGCAGGGCGAAGCCCACGTGCCCAGGCTGCGGTTTGGGGGGGGTAGAAGAGAGGATATCGGGGATGGGGGCAGGGGGATGGGGGGGGAGAACCCAGGCGTCCTGG